ATATAGTTCCTTTAATTAAATGCATTCAATTCTGCGGCTCATTTTTTTCTGTCTTGAGGGGGGTGGGGGGCTTGAGAGTCCACCCTATATCTTTAAAGTAATTGCTTTAATTCCTCAACAGGCCCGTGTCGTCCCTTATCAAGTATGCATGTTTGCAAAAAAGTTGGGATATTTCAGCGTAAATGGTCAGGTGTCTAAAGTAACCCATTACTACTGAATAAAAGCTTTCAAGCTTGATTTCGGTTATTATTAATACTATACCCCGCTCAGTTTCCCTCATTCGTCACTGTTGAGTGTTGGGCAGTTTTATTGGCAAGATTCCGGGCTTAGGGAGTGGTCATTATTTATGGGGAGAAGGAGGGGGGTTTGGGAAATGGGGGGGCAAACGAAGTTTTAAACTTATAATTATAAATAGGGGGGCCAAAAAAGTTTTAACGCAGAGAAAGGGGGGATTAAAAAAGTTTTTGAACTTAAATACCATGTCTAGAGTTCTGATTTCTATAATCAGATTGTAGGTTGGGCTGTGAGTGAAGAAGAATTACAAGAAGTGGCAATGAATTCAGGTGTTCTTGAAGTTGAAACAGATTTGCTAGAGGAAGATTTTCGGGCAGAATGTGAAAGAGTCTTACCATACCCTAGTAAAGTAGAGCCCAGTGAATGCAGAGATGCATTTTTGTATCTAAAAGAGAAATGTAATTTCCAAACATCGTCAGCCTCGTAATCAATTTTGCTTTACTTCAGTTACATTGTAAATTTAAAATATTTCAATGGATGAATGATTGCATTTATTAATAACTGGACTAGAGAGATTAACATTAAATTAGTAAACACCTATTATGGAATAAACACCCACTTAAAATACCAAATGCCCAGGGTGTTTATCAGCCAGCCTCAGTGGGAACAAGGTTGGGTGTTTATTAGATATATTATGGTGGACATGTAAATAGTCCGGGTGAGGCAGTTAATTGATAAAATGGAAAAAATCGATGTTTTTTGTAAACCAATTCAACCAACAATGTTATTAGTATTTGGAAAAAAACTGTTTGAAACTCAGTAAAATTGGAACAAAAAGTGAGAAAACAGCACACTTAACAGTGGCTTACCAATTACATGTTACCATTAATACAACTGTTTTTAAAACTAGCATGAATTTGTTCTCAGATGGATTCTGGTTTTCCCCCTGAACCATGTAACTAAACAATAACAATAAGATTTAGTAATAATATCTCAAGTTAAATACTGGTGTCCAAATAGGCACAAAAGTTTTAGAAAAATAAGAACGGATGAATATTTATAAGCAAAACATCAGTCTGAAAGCTTGAATGTTTGTTATGAACTAAGTGGACTCAAGCCAGCAAGAATTCAAAATGTTGTGCACTTGTGCTTGCTAATAAAGTTTTCGATTACAATATGTGCAAGGTTCCCAGTGCAGAAGAGAAACTGACTATCGTCATAAAGACTAGATGTAGCAGTTTCGGGATCACATAACTGGTAGCTGCTCCTCTGAATGTCGACCACCATTAGTTTTGTGCCAGATCTTTCATAACAGAAATGTGAAAGGCACTACGCTTTCTGCCCAATGACATTGCCACTGACACAAGGAATATCATTGTTGTTGATATATTTTACAAATTCACCTGACACAAATTCTTCAACAGTTAAAGTTTCACCTTCGTCCGTCTTGCCCAGAAAAATCTTTCGGTACTTTAGAAGTGGACTATACTGTTCAGCCTTCCCTGCATCTTTCAATATTTCTTGCTTAAGTTGAAGAGCAAAGTTGCGTGTAATCATATGCATTTGAACAACCACCTTGTTGTGGTCTTCCAGAGAGTGGTTTGTTGCTTGGTTAGTGTCAACAGCATCAGGCAGATACTTCTTAATGACCCAAGAACATCTCTTGAAATCTGCATTGTGAGTGGTAGCTTTGTAAGCACTTAATGAATCCCCCTTGACCCAAAGGGTTTGCTTCAACCAAAAACTCTACAGTTTGTGGAACCTTGAATTGAATTGAATCGAATTTATTTTTGCCACTTTACAAAATTGTTTACAAAAGAAAGAACGAAAACACACACACACACACACAAACTAATTTAAATCACAATTATGGCCATAGGTTTATAATTGAATCGGGTGCCTCAGGTTAAGTACCTCAAGGTAAGGGCCTTGGTATCTTACAAGGGGTGCAACTGTTGGGGGTGCATGACACCCCCCCCCCCCACCAGATTAGAAATGGTATGATAGTTCCAAGGCAAATTTTGCCTAGTGTTTGGCTGTATGTCAAGCAAAGCAGTTTTACTCTTCTGAGGTAAAAAATAAAAATATGAGTGGTAATGATTAAAAAGTGTTAATTCTGGTCAAATCTGGGGAAATTTATGAAAATATTAAGGAAAATTAATTAAATGAGTAATGGTATGTTGAAAAAATTTTGTATGTTCGTATGACCAAAAAAATTTTTGGTATGTTGACATGTCTGGAAAAAATTGTATGTCAATGTCCCCCACCCCCCACCCAATTTTAGGAAATTAAATATTAATGATCATTCCGGAAAAGATCCACACTTCCCCCACGGAAGAAATTTCTGCCATCCGGAGAGGGAGGGGAGATAAAATTGTTTGTGATAATAGTAAATGTATTAGGACATCCGAATGGGGTAGGGGGTTAACTTCCAATTTCCTCCATGGGGGAGGTATGGATGTTTTCTGGAATGACACAATTAGTGGTTTGTGACATGCCTGAGCTTGAGAGGAGACCACACCCTTTTGTTGGGCAAGAGAACACAGACACCCTATCCTTGGGTTTCACTACGGCATTATGCAGGGGGGGGGGTCAACCTCAAATGTATTGATGTTTATGCTGTACTGGAGTGAGGAAATGATATGAATTTCCATGTATTTGCCACAAAACACAATGCTAATACATAAAACGAACAATTGACGCACTCTGATAACTCTGTTTTGTTCTAGAGTTGACCCCCCCCCCGTCACTTTTGTGACGTCATATGAAACCCAAGAATTAAATATGTACGGTCAAGTTGCTGTTGTGCCCCTGTGTCTTACAGAAAATTGTCTAAAGTTTGTTCTACAAGTCATCAGATTTACCATGGACCAAGTCATCAGATCTATATCAAATGTGTACATATGGACCACCGTTGTCTTTCGTGAGTCAACTATCTTCCCAAGTTTCATCATGTCAAACACAGACAAGCTTTTTGGGTAACATTTACTAGGACTTGCATTTGAAGTTGCTGGTCGTTTATATTCCGGAATGCTGCTTGATGTACTAGCTGATTCCACTTTCCTTTTCCGTACAGCTAATTGAGCAGGTGGCAAGCTGCTAGTGTTCCCTAAATCTGTTTCGACGTCGTCGTCGACAACATCGATGCTTGAACGAGGGATAAAGCGAACATGAACCAACTTGCTGTTTGGTACGTGGTTAACACTTTTACAAGAGGGACCCTGCTCCCCAGTCAGCACATCGTAGCATACATTCTTACCCACTTTGTGAGCGAAATGTTTTTCACAAGCTTTCTTAATGTTCTTGATAGTCACTTCCTCGAACTTGTCGAATGGAACAAACCCACGAGCGCCAACACGAAGGTATTTTTGAGCTTTTCCTGCAACTTCCGCGGACAACTGTTGAACAACAAGCCCCTCTGTTTTGCTAAACGTATCTCCGCTTTCTTTTTCGAGGTTTTCAATTGTTTTTGTTTCATTTGCTCCTTGTAATCTCGCCATGCTTGAGCAACCATGACGGTGTTTGTAATAGTGCGCTCGCAAGGCATTCTGGTATACTATGGGAGTTCTAGGCCATGTGCGAATTTCAATTTATTTTCGAATTATTTTGTTTCAATTTGTTTTAATTTTGTAAAACATTTCAATTTGTTTTAATTTTGTTTTACTTTTATTTATTAATTTTTTTTAATTCATTTTGTTTTTCTTTTTCTCTATAATAAATTCTATTTCATTTTCTTTTATTTAATATTTTTACTGAAATATTGAATGGCAGTTCTCGGAAGTTAAATCTGGAAATTTAATTGCAAATTGGTCAATAATTGCCAATTTTGTTCCTGCTTGCAAGTCTGCCTTAAATGATCTGCTGCTTCTTTCATCTTTCTCTGTGGTTTTCCTCCATTTGGACCAACAACAACCTACGCAGTGGATGCATTTAAGATTACTTTGAATTAAAGATACATATATTGTACTCTTAAGTGTGACATGTATGAAGGAAATGGCATTTCACTCTATATACAGTAGGTAGTTAGGGGCTCCAGAGTAAACAGCCAAGCCTCTCAGATTTCGTTGACTAAACTGTACCTGCCTAGCTAAACAAAATATCAACTAAGTTAAATAGTCTAACTACAGTACAACCATGAATAATGTGCACCATCAGCAACCTATGAACATACATACCTTATAATCTGGAAACTTTAGGACTCGAGACATTATAATTTGGCTGGGACAACCCAGATTTTTGGATGGTTGATAATGCTTTCTTCTTTTCCAGAATGTATGGTCATGGTTCTGCAAACCCATTGCATGGTGTGAATAGAAATATGTATTTATGGGATGGTTGTTCAATAAATTAACCTGCTACATAGGCTACTCCTTAAGTTAACATCGCCACAAACTGCATGGCATTAAAGGTTGATATTAATAGTTCAATATTAAATTGTTAATAATATACATAAAGATGTTACTCGACCGTGATTGGTTGATTTCAGTGCAGTTAATCCCAAACAGGAGTGCAATTTTCTGTAATCACAGTGCAATTTTTTGTAATCACAGTGCAATTTTCTGTAATCACAGTGCAAAAACCTGTAACACACTGATCTGATTGGTGGAAAAACATTTTGATGATTAAATCAACCAATCAGTTTAAAGCAGTTTAGTTTTAAAGAAGTGACGGTCACAGATTGCTTCAAAACAAAACAAACATGGCGCCGCGCTACACAAAGTAAAAGTTGCCTTCGCGTGGAAAATATGGCTTTTATCTTTATTTTTAAATGGAAAAGCATTTACCTTAAACAAGACTAACAAAAAATACACAGTTGAGTGGAATTTTCAAGCTGTTAGCGTTGTATAATGTAATAAAACAAAGCCAGGAAAACTTTGCCAGTGGAATCTTCGCTATAAACGCGTAAGTTAAAACAACAATTGTCTCGAACATTTTTATGTAAATTATTAATAAGTAATAGCATGATTTCTCGTGAAATTTGGATAAACATGCACTCGTGAGTTTTTCAAAGACCTCAAATAGCACTCGTCCTTCGGACACGTGCTATTTTGAGGTCTTTGAAAACCCCACTCGTGCATGTTATATCCAAATTGCACTCGAAACCATGCTATTACCTATACTTATTAACCAATTAATGTGCAAGACTCTGCTTGTACTTTTGTATTCTAAATAATATACCTGCAGCTTGTCATTTAAATGCATTCAACATAATACCGTATAGCTTCTGCCATTTTTACCTCATTTTTATCCCGGTCTTCTTGTCTCTTTATTTTTGTTTTCAGATCTATATCGTCACCCTGATGACATTGGTAGTACACTGTGCCAACACATAGAAATGGCACACCATCAAATGGAAATGATATCCCTTCAGAACTTGTCAGGCTCCATTGAACTATTTTTCCATTTTTTTTTTATGCCATAATTTCCTCAGCAGTCTTGCCTTAATTTTGTTTTTGGATTTTAAAATTATAACATTTATTATCATGTCGTGTTATATATATATTTATAATATAGCATTTGTAAATTCCGAACGCTGATTGGCTAAGAGCTGTGTTGATATAACTCCATGTCAACACGGGAAATTTTCCGCCGCTTGTAAACACGGAAATTTGTCTTATTCTTCGGGCTTTTGACATTGCTATATTATAAAACAAATATAAAACATTTTTTCGGTATTGATATATAGTTATATCAACACTTGTGGAAGTTGGGAAAACTCGAAATTGTATGAAAACACTCCGCCCTTCGGGCGTCGTGTTTCCACACAATTTCTCGTTTTCCCAATTTCCACTCGTGTTGATATAACTGTATATCAACACGGAAAATGTTTTATATTTGTTAAATATATATATATATATATATATATATATATATAATATTATACAAAATAAAGGCCATGCACGACCAAAAGAAATTAAAATATATAATTTAAAAATTTTAAATTTTCGACTACATGTAACAGCCTTCGTCAGAAACTAAGTACAAACTAAATCAAATAAGTCTCTTATATATCCTATGTGTAAACTAATTAGAAATTCTAATTACAAGATGGTAAATACAAATGCATTGATACTATTGTTGCACGAAGTCGTGATGACCATTAAGTCCCCCCTGGTTGGTTAACAAGGTACCAATCCAGAAATTCTCACATTCTCTAAGAGTGTGATGCCTTTGATCAATCAACATAAATTTTAAACTAGAGTGGTCAGCACCATGGCAATCCAAAAAATGATTGACAATAGCACACGTTCTCCGCTTACGTTTTATGTGTGACTTATAATTAGCAAGTTGGGTCTTAAAATTTATGGTAGAACCTACACCTTGCAGACCACAAGCCACACACTGCGCAAGATATACTACATTTTCAGATCCACATGTGAGAGATTTACCAATTTTAAAAATCTTCTTGGTAATCACTGAACGAAAACTACTTCCAGAAACAAG